TTTTTTTTTTTTGGGTCAAATGACATGCAAAAAGGCCTGTTCTGTTCGATGCACTAAGCTCCCTCTATATGCGAGGTCGGGGAAAAGGCCGGACCAATAGGATCTCATACACGGCTTTACCTTGTATTTCTGCAAGAGGCTATTTCAAAGTAAATTCCATAATTCTTCATGAAATTCTGGCCGAGGGTCTTTCGGAAACAGACTCTCTATCCCTCGGGTAGAGGTGTATGTCCCTACCCTTCCTGATCCCACTAGTGGAATTTTACCGGGTTGCGTTGTTGTTGTTGCTACATGAAACTCTGATTTATGAACGGTTTGAAGTATTAGGTTAAAATTTAGCAGAACATGTGTAGAATCTATATAATCATAAGTGTCACTAATTTCAAATATTAATATTACAGGCATGAGGTTGTTGGTGTTGTAACTGAGGTTGGTAGCAAGGTGGAGAAGTTTAAGGTTGGAGACAAAGTAGGTGTTGGATGCATGGTAGGATCATGTCGCAAATGCGAAAACTGTGACAATGATCTCGAGAATTACTGTCCTCGTCAGATCCCTACTTACAACAGCTATAACACAGACGGGACCCTTACATTCGGAGGTTACTCCGATATCATGGTTTCTGATGAACATTTTGTAGTTCATTGGCCTGAGAATTTGCCAATGGAAGCTGCTCCTTTATTATGTGCGGGGATCACAACTTATAGTCCATTGAAACATTTTGGACTTGATAAGCCTGGAATGCACATTGGTGTTGTTGGTCTTGGTGGCCTCGGCCATATGGCTGTGAAATTCGCTAAGGCTTTTGGAACTAAGGTAACTGTGATCAGTACATCTGCTAGTAAGAAGCAAGAAGCGATTGAACGTTTGGGTGCAGATGAGTTCTTGATCAGCCGCGATACTGAGCAGATGCAGGTGACTATAACTTGGACATTCCTAATTTGAATAATATTGTTAAGAGTTTATATTTCGTGCACTGAAAAAGTGTAAAGAATTTACACTATCATGCCAAATTAACCTACAACAGTAAGTTCATATTGATAGTATAAAAGTTCTTTTCTAACTGTTAGTGTATATAACATAAACTCTATTGTGTAAACAGAATAACGGAGGCTAACCTTTCGTGTATTCGTTTAATATGAACAGGCTGCAATGAGCACATTGGATGGGATAATTGACACTGTTTCTGCAGTTCACCCTATTCTTCCATTGCTTAGCTTATTGAAATCTCATGGTAAGCTTGTTATGGTTGGTGCACCAGAAAAACCAGTGGAGTTGCCAGTGTTTCCTCTGCTTTTGGGTAAGCATATAATTTCACTAGTTCTGTCCATATATAGCTTTTTTATGCACTAAAAGGCAGCTCGGTGCACGAAACATCCCGCATTTACACAAGGTTGGGGGAGGGTCACAGCCTAAAGAGGTGTGATGTAGGCAGCCCGCAGCCTACCCTAATGCAAGCATCAGTGGCTGATTCTATGGCTCGAACCTGTGACTTATAGGTCACAAGGAGACACTGTTTCGAATAAAAAAATGTTGAGACTAAAGTATATATAATGTGGAAAACAGGAAGGAAGCTAGTGGCTGGAAGTTGCATAGGAGGGATGAAAGAGACTCAAGAGATGGTAGATTTCGCAGCAAAGCATAATATTACACCAGATATTGAAGTTGTGCCCATGGAGTATGTGAATACAGCTTTGGATCGTCTTCTGAAATCGGATGTGAAGTATCGTTTTGTGCTTGACATTGGAAACACATTGAAAGCAGCTAATTGAGAGTTGAGTTACAAAAATGGATCACGAAAAAGTGCTGTCTGTTACTAGGACTTTAAATTTTAGTCTATTGCCAATTTTCTATTAGTTTTGCGACTGAAACATAGTTATTGTTGTACTGACACTTTTGTACTAATGCTTTGAGCAAAAGAGAAGTAGCCCTGCTTTGTATGGAGAGAAAAAACTGTTGAAGTTTGGCAAAATGCCAAAGTCCCACATTGGTTGGGAGTTAAGTTTGGAGGGG